CCCACAACCCACCCCCCCCCCCCCCCCCCCCATACAGCACTCCACCCTATAATCTGGTGTGCAGCTGCAAGCATCTGTTCCACTCCCTCTCTCTTTTCCTAACCACTGAATTGATAAACACATCAATCATAAAGCCACTGACACACGGTAGACCGTGTGAAGCAACACGGGAACAGAGTTTCCTTTTCATCTGGACTAAGTCTGGGCACGCACTGTGTGCTTAATTACTGTTTAAAATGCTATGTTAATTTTTCATTAATATATTGATGCATGAGACTTAGCACCACATTATGAATAATTCGATTGATCATGTCATGATTTCTTGTAGTGTTCAGTTTAACCGTACAATCTTTACTCAATACAGTGATCTTTTGCTTATTCTCTGCTGGCATGCATCTACTGAGTAATTTGGCAGCCCGAGGAAATCAGCTACTTGCTGCCAAGTTCTGTAATTTGGCAGCATCTAGCAGGTTACTTATTCATTAGGTTCAGTCATAGCTGAATAATTAATCACAATATGGAAATGTGCTTCCAAACACTTGCAGCAACAGATCCTTCAGCCGTAAATTATCACATAATACACATTTCAGGAGGAAACTTCTTCAAAATGTTCAGATTATTGAGACACGAGACTAAACACAATTTTGCATACCACAATTTTGCCTGCCAACTTTATCAGAGTAACTGATATGATTTAGAGATCATGAGAATGTTCTTTACACAAATGTACCATTTTTATTCTTATTCTTATTTATTCTTAGTTTTATCAAACTTAAGACATAACGTTATCTGTCTGTACCACATAAATCACCTGTCCTCAGACCTCAAAGCTAGAGATTCAAATATATGATTAAACTTAAAAACAGAAAACAGAAATATAAATATGTATGCATATAAATATGAAACAAAAACAGAAATATAAATATGTATCTCAAGAAACGTTAATGATATTTTCCCCGTTTTTTTTTTTTTAACAGCTGTGTTATTATGAAACATATAAATAGATATTTATCATGTAACATCAAAATCTGCTTTCAGGTCCTGAAGGTCACATTTAACCAGTTATGAGTTCAACAAGGTCACGCAGACTCTATTGAATTTATTTATACTGTATATATATATATATATATATATATATATAGGCCCTATGTGTGTGTGTGTGTGTGTGCGCACATGTTTTTGTGACAAATGAGGACATAAATTTGTATAATGACAAAGGTATGACATAGGTATTACAAGGAGAAATGTGACTTTTCAGGACATTACCCCATGTCCCCACTTTTCAAAACGCTTATAAATCACACAGAATGGAATGTATTGAAAATCTGAAATAGCACAAAGTTTCCTGTGAGGGGTTGGTGTAGGGCAATAGAATATACGGTCTGTACAGTATAAAAACCATTATGCCTACGGGATGTCCCCACTTTTCACAAAAACAAACCTGTGTGTGTGTGTGTGTGTGTGTGTGTGTACATGTTTTTCTATCCCAGTGGGGAATTAAACCTGAATACAGACTGACTCATGGGGACTCGTGTCACCGTGGGGACCTAAATTGAGGTCCCCATCGGGAAACAAGCTTATAAATCATGCAGAATTATTATTATTATTTATTTATTTATTTTGAGAATGTAAAAATGCTGTGTTTCTGTGAGTGGTAGGGTTGGTGTATGGCTATAGAATATACGGTTTGTACAGTATAAAAACCATTACACCAATGGAGAGTCCTCACAAGAATAGCAAACCTCCCCACTTTTCACAAAAACAAACCTGTGTGTGTGTGTGTGTGTGTGTGTGTGTACATGTTTTTCTATCCCAGTGGGGAATTAAACCTGAATACAGACTGACTCATGGGGACTCGTGTCACCGTGGGGACCTAAATTGAGGTCCCCATCGGGAAACAAGCTTATAAATCATGCAGAATTATTATTATTATTTATTTATTTATTTTGAGAATGTAAAAATGCTGTGTTTCTGTGAGTGGTAGGGTTGGTGTATGGCTATAGAATATACGGTTTGTACAGTATAAAAACCATTACACCAATGGAGAGTCCTCACAAGAATAGCAAACCGTGTGTGTGTGTGAGTGTGTGTGTGTGTGAGTGTGAGTGTGTGAGTTTGTGTGTGTGTGTGTGTGTGTGTGTGTGTGAGTGTGAGTCTGTGTGTGTGCGCGCGCGCGCGCTTATATTTTCTGTCACAACCATTATCAACACATTGGTTTTTAGATCATTGAAAGTAGCAATGCTTGTAGCTAAATACTTAATAATCTTCTTCTGTTCATTTTTATAGATCTTACATCTTGGTTCATACAGACCACCGCTTGCAGGAGTTTCATTCTTTGACATTTTGAATGTACATACCTGGATGCGCTTCGATGATATCGCGAGATCTTTTAAGACTCTCCTGCCTATTCCGCTGAGGTCGTCGCGAGAACAGAGTGAAAATTATCCGGTGTTGGTCTCCGAGGTGAGTAGGGATGTTGCAAAACGTGAAAAAGATGGTATAATTTCGTCTAAAATAGATTAGACATTGTTGGCGTATTGATATATGTTAAATATTATTTACATTAAATAGCGGAGCAATTTATAATTTGTCAATATGCAGGTGTGCTCTTGCTGCTATAGCATCTCTACGTCGTGACAAAAATAAAAGGTGTTAGACGTATAAACAGTATCATTGCCTGATGTCACATGCGCTGGTTTCTCATGAGAAGGCATTTCTGTCTTATGCGAGCATCCTTGCTATTCATTAGCAGTCCACCTACAGTATGTGTAGGCTGACATTAGAAATCATTTCTCATATCAGGGTTCTCTGATCTTAAATGACTGTTTCCATTCGCCAGTGTGTTAAAGCCGGCTGATTCTGAAAGCTGAATGTGATTAGATCTGGGCTTCAGTAGTTCTGTTGGATTCAAATTATGATAAAAGTTAACAGTCTCAGATTTTCTGGCATTTGCATACTACACTCATGGTGTTGATGTCATCACCATTTTATGGAGGATGAAGAATCTCTCTTCCTGACAAACACATTAAGAGTCACATCTCATGAATCTGTCCATTGGCACCTCTCATTCTGTTTATCAGCACCTAAAATAAAGCAATACTTTAAAACTGTGTATTTTGAAAAGCAATCATCATACTGGACTGGAAAGTAGATTCCATCAGTGCATGATGACAGTTATGAATCATTTCTATCATCATTATGAATTTGCAGACAAGCACTCTCACTGTACGGCTAGTTCAAGTTGACTTTACATTAACATGATATCACTGCTATGTTCATGTGCTCTGGTTCTGTTTTTAAGGATTTTTTTTCAGGTTCTAGTAAATTCTATAGTTTTCCAAATGCAAATTAAGCTTTATCAGTAAAGTGTGCATATTGTTTTAGTGTACTGCTATGTTATAAATGAAAATTCTGTAACTATTTACTGATTTTTCATTTGCTCTGAATGTGTTGCTTTCTGTGAAAGAAATATATTTTTTGATTTTGTCCAGCCACGGTTAAAGATCATAGATGTATTAATCATTAAAATTGCAGAAGGGTTTCTAGAAGATTTAAAAGAGGAACATTTGCATATTTGTAATGAATTAGATGGAGATAAGAGAGTACAATGTGGTAGCAAGTATTCTTTTTGAAAGGGCCTGTGTTTTAACTGGAGGTATGACAGTTGCAATTGTGTCAATTAAAAAAAACTGACCATAGGTTTTCTCTTTTGATGTTGGTAAAGGCTAACCAGCTATCATGGGGAACATTTTTGGCAACCTTTTGAAGAGCCTCATTGGAAAAAAGGAGATGCGGATTTTGATGGTCGGGCTGGATGCAGCTGGGAAGACCACAATCTTGTACAAACTGAAGCTGGGAGAGATAGTGACTACCATTCCTACTATTGGTGAAGCACATTTTTAGACTTAAAATGTTGAATTGCTTGGTTATTATTGTATTATTTTCCTCTTGTAAAGAGACAAAGGCATTGATGTCATGTTTTTAAGAGTCTGGCCACTGTGTAATTTGTGTGCCATTGTGTTTTCTTGTTATTAGGTTTTAACGTGGAGACTGTTGATTACAAAAATATCAGTTTTACAGTGTGGGATGTTGGTGGCCAGGACAAAATCCGACCTCTGTGGCGTCACTACTTCCAGAACACACAAGGTGAGAAGAGGACTCGTACACACACATACACACTCTAAAAACACAAACAGGATTTTGTGTCAGACAGAGCCACTATGAATAGCCAACGGATGTGACATCAACTAAACCCTATATTGGGATCCACAAGGGTCTTTATTTTTTCCTGTTATTAATCACTAACTTTCTATAACCACATTTCACATCATTTCCAATGTATTTTGAAGGTCTCATCTTTGTGGTGGACAGCAATGACCGTGAGCGAGTGAATGAAGCCAGAGAAGAGCTGATGAGGATGCTGGCTGAGGATGAACTGAGAGACGCTGTACTCCTTGTCTTTGCCAACAAGCAGGCAAGAGCTTCGTTGTGCTTCTGCTTTTTTCTTCAAATCAGAAACAGTTCATTGATGTTAGCATTGCATCTGCCGTCTACCCATTTTAAAGCAGCCCTAGTATGTGCCTCAGTTTCTGTAATGTATGTGTCGATTTGTTGAAGATGGAAACATAGCTGCTGTAACATTATATATGGTTGTAGTTCGTTAGTATCAAGGGATTACTGTAGATGCTGAGGAATGATCAGAGCTCACGTTTGTAAGATAGAAAATTTCCCTCAGTCTGTATGGTCTGTATGGGTTTGCCTCGTCTTCCAGATGGCAGAGGTGAAAGCAGGCTATTTTTGGGCTGGATGGGCTCTCTGATGATTTGGAGAACTCATTGCCAGCAGTGGTTGTTGAGGTCTGCCACTGATGTGTTGAGCAGTTTTGACCACCCGCTGAAGGTCTCTCTGATCTGATGATGTGCAGCTGCCATATCTTAGTGAGAAGCAGTAGGTCATGATGCTCCCAACACTGAATCTGTAAAAGATCTCAAGAGAAATGGAGGCTTTTCAGTGTATGCAGGGATTCTAGACACTGGTTCCAGGAAAAATTAGCTCATGAACTTTGGGAAATCGTCTATGATGAGTGCATGCCATATGTATATAAATAGTAAGATATGTAGTTGTGTCTGTTTCTCTCTCACTCTCCAGGATCTGCCAAATGCCATGAATGCTGCAGAAATCACAGATAAGCTGGGTCTCCACTCCCTGCGCCATCGTAACTGGTACATCCAGGCCACTTGTGCCACCAGCGGAGATGGTCTATATGAGGGTCTAGACTGGTTGGCCAACCAGCTCAAGAACAAGAAATGAGAAGCAGAAGCAGACCGGATCCAAGAGGAGCCGGTGTGGGCGAAGAGTCACCTGAGTGGCAGCTCATCAGGGAGCACCAGTGGTTTCCAAGTTTCTTTCATTCTGTTTACAAGCTGAGACCAATAGGAGCCGGGTCATTTCAGACAGTGTAACCCCTCTCTATGTCCCACCTAACAGATCCGTGAGATGATTGGGGAAGCACCCATGATTCATATTCATATTCACTAGTGAAGATAGACATCTCAGTTTCTTGTGTCTCTACACTGTAAATGTATAAAAGACAGTAACGGGGAGTGAATGAAAAGCTTTTACTTATATTAATTTTATGGAAGTAACTCTTAAATGCAGGTCATTTAAACTATATTAAATGCACTGATAGATGAGAAACCTGTTGATTCAGTTTCCCGAAATATTCAAATAAAATCAAGTGAAATTGTTTTGCTACTGAAAAGTAAATATGCATTGTGATTTATTATTAGCATATCAGCCAGACTTCATGACTGTCAGTGTTACAGACAAAGTGGTGATGATGCTCTTATTGCATGCATTCACACAATAACCAGTCTCTGCACAGGTTGCTGAGCAAGCTTTGGTTAGTGCTGGATGTAGATCCGACTGTAGAGCTCTTGTCTTGGCATGCGCATTTGCAAACGATTAAATAGCACATTGTTCCGTGTACAAGAACTGTTTCTTTTGTGCTTATATTGTTCACTACCCAAGCTGCTGTTCTGTTGTGTAGCTAACTGCGTTTGTTTCACCCATTGTATCCTCTGCTCTTGCACGCTGTTCGTCTGTGTTGTGCCGTGTAGACATGCTCATTGACTGTGTCATTGCATTCGTGTTAGTTACTTTTTGCTAGTGTTGCATGGGCAGATCTGAGGAGCTGAACAAGAGTTGATCTCTTTAGCCCTGTGACTGGAAAGAGTGTCAAAGCGACTTTACAGTAGACGCAGGTACTAATAGACTCAAGTATTTATGGGTGTGTGTGTATGCTCATGAATGACTAAGTGACACGCTTAATAAAGTATGCACTTAGATAATTTCATGTGAATATCTATTATTTGTTGTAGTCCTGTGTCCATACACTCTTAAAAATGCTGGGTTAAATACAACCCAGCACTGGGTAAAATGTGGACAAACCCAGGGATTGGGTTGTTTTCAACCAACGGTTGAACTCAACCTTCTGGGCAGTAACCCAACCGCTGAGTCAAAACAACGCAATCCCTGGGTTTGTCCACATTTTACTCACATTTTTTATGTGTAAATTTGTTTAATTTATGTTCCTTGCATTGAGATACTATGGAGAAAATTCTGCAAGCATTAAAATCATGTTGCCTAAAAACAATTTTTAAAAATGTGTTTCCAACTTTGCATCTGAGCAAACAAGTAATTTTTTCATTATCCATTCTTCCATTTATCCATTTAGGCATCAATTTAGCTTTACAACTTTAGTTTTAGCTTCAACTAAAACTGAAACTATTACAAAATAATTTTTGTTAATTAAAACTAAGATTAAATAAAATATAAATATTACAAAAAATGTAGCAAAATTTAGAAATTTGGCAACTAACTGAAATAAATACTAAAATTACTTAAAAGTTCATTAAAGTTTATAAGCTAGTTAAAACCTAATAATAAATAAAAGCAACAAAAGCACATTACAAAATTAAAACTGAAAATCCAAAAAAGAAAAAAAGAAAAGAAAAAATTCTAAATATTAATAAATACTATATTAGTATATAAATAATACTAGAATAACACTGTTGTCAACTAGGCTTTTTCAGTTATTACACTCCAAAATGTTTAAATATGGTCATATAATTAAATATATATTAAGCAATACCAAATAGTTTACTCTACTTGTGTCTTTTTATAAACAATACTAGATAATATTTCCTCAAATCATTACCTTCAGCGTATTATAGTATTTATTATTTATATTTTGAATTAGCTTTTATTTTATATTTTCAGTTTTCATTTTAGTTTTAGTTCAAGTTTATTAAATTTGTCATGCGCTTTTGTCATCTTTATTATTCTTTTTTGCTTTTTTAATGTCCATTTACGTTGTAGTAATTTTAGTACTTAAAATTATTTCAGCTTGCCAAGGCAAAATTCCAATTTTTTTTTTCTTTAAATCTTTTCTAAATTATGTTAGTTCTAAAATTTTTTTTACATATATGCCTGATAATTATATACAATTCTGATGATGATTTTAACAGTTTAGTTTTGGCTAACAATAACAACATTGATTCCCTCAGAAGTATTTATGTATATGACAGGTGCTTGTGCTCCACAAAGTAAAAATTATGGGAAAAACGACACGTAACACAATAAAACCACTCAAGTCTTTCAGAACCAGCCAAGTCTTTATAACAAAAATGAACCCACATGCCTGATGAAGTTCATCTACTATAACTTTTTTTTTCTTCCAGAATTCGGTTTACACACATGGCTTAGTCGCTTCAGTCATTCAGCGGTTTGGTGTGAAATTATAACATTTGTTTCTGCATTCTGATAACTTTATCAGACACCACAGAATGTGATAAATCTTATCTTTGTGTGGTTTGTGAAAATTTCATAGAGCATACTGAAAGCACTTAATCTGCTCTGTGTGAACACTTACGGCTCTTAGACTCAGAAAAGCCTAGAAATAATAAGAAGGGAAGTCTATTTGTTTAGCAAGATGCCCAGTACCTCACCCCCTTATTCTGTGGCAAATCCCACACACCTCCCTGCCTGCCCTCACAGTGTGTGTCTCCAGGGGCGTGACAGCAGTATGTGGGTCAGGGCTGCTCCCTGGGTTGCCAGCCCCAATGGCCCCCTGCAGGCCGCTCATAATAGCAGCACCATGGCAGGTGCCATAGCTGGGATTCCCTCCCGTAACCGGGGCGCCCTCGCCCAGGGCACAGACTCACTGGCAGCAATGCTGCAATCAATTCATCAATCTGTGATGGGAGCCGCGACCACTGAAGCCAGGCCATGACCACCAGCAATGAGGCTAAGAAGCAGGACTGGAGAAATCAGGAGCTGGATGGAGTACAGCTGATTATTTAGGGGTCTGATATTCAGTCATAGCACACGGGCATAATGAGAGTTTTTTTCATTTTGGGAAGGTTCTCAAAAAGTTGAAATGACTACATGGATTGTCAAGCATGAACAAGCACACACACACACTTGAACACAATAATGTTACATTTGGAGTGAGGCAGGGCTGTAGCCAGAAACATTGAAGGGAACACATCGACTTCAGATTAGTGGCTGATCAATATGGCTTTTCAATGATAATTGTTTTTTCCCCCCTCATCTTGAATATTTGATTACTTCCTCCAACATTTTTAAAGTAGCAAACATAAAAAAAAGTTGTTGTTATTATTAAAAGTAGTAGTAGTAGTAGTAGTAGCAAATGCAAAACATAAAATAATAATAACAATAATAATCACTAAAACACTAAATAAACACTAAAAAAGAAAACATTGTATAATAATAATTGTATAAAAAATTAAAAAAAAAAAAATACAATATAAAAATAAAATAAAAATTATAATTATTCTAATAAATAATAAGTAGACTAGTTTTTCTTATTCAAACGGTATCAAACACTCAAAAAAAGTAAAATAACAACAACAACAATGACAAAAGAATGCTTGGTTATTCAAACAGGGAAAAACACTAAAAAATAAATAAATAAAAGCTTATTCATAACCAAGAAGTCCACTGAAATGGGTCAAAATGTGGTGTGATAATATACCAGGGAAATGTAAGTGATTATTAAGTGGTTATTATTACTGTCAGTTTAAGTCTTTGTCTGTATACCCTCAACGTGACCATTATAACTGTACAGTACCAAATAAACTCGGACGTTTTCGCACCATCCTTCATCATTTAGCTGATGTCTCCATCTGCTGGACAACCGAACGTAGCGAAGTCAAGTCACTTTTATTAATATATAACGCTTTATACAATACAGAGTGTGTCAAAGCAGCTTTGCAGTGACAAACAGGAAAATAGTTTGTCAATAATGCAAGAGGACAACAACAAAACAGTCCATTTTTAAGTTAAAGTCAGTTCATTGTTGATTCAGTGATGACATATCAGTTTCTCTCTCTTCCAATAGTGTTCCAATATTGCCAGAAATTACTCGTCTCCAACAAAGCAAGCCACTCCTCAATGGGCTCATATTTATTTTGCTTAAAATCTACCACGTAGTAACTACCGCATGCACTGAGCTTTACTGAAGACAGGATATAACAGCCCTTCAGAAAACTTACCTTGGCTTTACTTTTCTTTTTGTTTTCGTTTTTGCAAAACTTGTTATCTTTGCTGTTTACCTCACATTAGGCTATGGAGGCTCTCTTTTATTTATTTATTTGATTCCTCAGTGTTTGCTAAACGTTCTGTAATTTATTAGTCGGTATATAATACAGCATGTGGTGTGTCATGCCTCATCTTATTCGTTTTTGTTAATAAACGTTTTGTAAGCTAGTGTCATTCTATATACTGATTTATTGTTGTTGTGCTTTTTAATTAAGAATAACAATGAATCCATATTTTGTTTTAGTCTTAAAAAATGAAAGGTGTGTAGATGTATTTAAGCAAAACAGTGACAACTAGATCGCGAAGTCGAAAGTGAAAGCATCCTAAGCCCGCGGCTTAATACAGCAAAAGAGAAACTCATATTCACAAAATTCAAATCACAAATAATACTAGGCAACCCTTACGGGTTGAATGTTAACCATAGTATACTTCAAGTATGATGTAAAGTTCACTTAAAGAAAACTTACGAGTATACTTGCAGTATAAAAATACTAAACTAGTAGTTCACTGAGACTATACTTCAAAGTGTACTAAAAATGCTACTACAAGTATTTAATTAGTAAACTATCAGTATACCTATAAGTTCACTTTTAGTATAGTTGCAGTGCAAACTAAACATTTTGATGTAAACTAGTTGTGTACTCAAAGTTTACTACTGTTATACTTAAAAGTATACTTTTATATACTAGAAAGTGGGCCAATTTAGTCCCAATGAGTATTGAAATAGTACACTTACAAGTATACTACTAGTACACTGATATTTGTATACTTACTACATAAAGTATACTTAAAAATATACTTGAACTTTACTTAAGTATACTTACTAAAATAAACTTGAAGTATACTACTTTTTGGTAAGGGTACTGATGTTAAAGAATGGGTTGAACGTTAACCACTTACGTTTCCATATAACTATAAACTGATAAAAGTTCATCAGCGTGCATTGAATAATCCCATGTTGTAGGGCAAAAAATAAATAAA